TAAAGAACTGGATTGCTTCCAGAAATTATATAAAATTATCTCATTAAAATAAATAATATTCAGGTAGAATCAGTAAGCTACTCTAACACAAATAATACAGAATAAGAACCCTGCAACTTTTAAAATTCACTAACTTAAAACCTTAAGTCTTCTTAAAAAAAAAAAAAAATTAAAATTCTCATTCTATCAGTCAGCCCCTGCTACTAAAAAAAAAAAACCCCAGAAAAACCCTTTAGGACCACCAAAGTAACTCAAACTAATTTTTAGCTGTTGCTATTTCAGTATTCAACAATGGTAACTTGGACGAGGAAAAGAATAATTAGCTAAAATCCCAATTTCTTAAAACTGCTATTGCAGAATATTTAATTAAAACCTTTAAATCCAGCAAACATGTCCAAAACCTCCAATATGAAGGCCATAACTCCCAACATGGGAAGCCTTGTCCTAGTTACACAAACCACATACACCAAAAGATACTGCAAAAGAAAGTAAAGGGGCAAAAGTGAAGCCTTTTGCCACTTGCTTTCAACGCAGTCCCCATAAACACCTGGCTCAAGAGCGATCAGACTGACGAGGCCCTAGCCTCCTCAAAAGTGTTGCGTGACCAAGATATCATTCCCATAAACCTGGAAAAGTTTTGAGTATGCATGGACATTGCTGGTGAAAAGAATTTACTTTCTTCTGAACACTAGTACAAGTCATTTTGTCTTAAGATTTTTAGTAACTTTTTTCCCCTCTGCCAACTTACTACTGCAGCCCTTTACATATAGGACTGTTTTTAGCTTCATGAACAGCCAAGTTTGTCTTGGATACATCAATTTGTCCTGTTCTCCAAACCCCCATGTCGGAACTGCTTTACTATAGTAATATTATGTAGAATTTGTTGTTGCGTAACTAAAATATTTCACGTAGCAATAGCCTCCAAGTCCCCCATGTTATGTTTTATGTAAAATTCCATTATATAAATATACCATATCCTTATAATACTCCCATCTTACCAGCTCAAAAGCCAAATAATAAGAGTATACCTCTTCTACATGCAGTATTACCAATCCCTACACTAATATAGTAAAATTATCATTCTTAAAACTTAACTACTTCCAAAGTCTATTTAAATGATATATTCTTCACTTTATCTCTCCACTCTCTAACCCTTTATTTGCCGTTAAGTAAACTAACCCATAAACAGTTAACACGCTGCCACAAACGATGGCCCAAAAAAAGTGTTTCTAAGCACGGTAGTCAATTTAAGTGTGTGTGCAGCAACATGTAATTAGCTAAACGGTTCTAACAAATTCAGTCTAATAAAAAAGTATCCTAATACCCTGTTATGACAACTGCCTCTTAGTTCAAGGATAGGTTTTGCTTAAGCACAATCAAATATTCTGGGATTCCCATTCTTCTCAGACTCAGCCACAACTGCTTGTAATCCACACAGTCAAAAGCCTTTACAGTCAATAAAGCAGATGATAGATAGCCATTCCTGATACTCTTCTGCTAAGCTTCTCCAGTCTTTCTTTCACCCTTTCCATTACTAACTGGATCTCAGAACTTAATCCTAGAAAACACCCCAGGAACTGTAGATCAGTTGCTCTCATGTATCACTGGTATCTGGCTACAGGAGTCCCTCCAAGACTTAACCCTGACCAAATATCCTTCTATACTTTCTGCTTACTCCTCCTTCTCTAAAAAATATGAGATCTCAGCTCCTCATCGTTTTTCCGTAATTATCACTAAAAATTCTCTCTGAACCTATCCTTTTTATCATTAACAGCCCTACCTCAGTGCTTTTCCAAGTGAACCCACAGCTGTCTCCCTGCAGATTAGATCACCCCTGGCCCAATTCAAAACTAGACCTCAACCACAGCTGTCCTACTACTTCACTCTGCATACAAAATAAGGCCTATTTCTTTAACAGAAGCCCCCTCAAATAAATGCTCCAAATATGGCCTTCAGAACATTACATATTATAAAAAAAAAAGCCATCAAATCCTTTCCCCCAAACTAACTCCTACTCCCACACATCAGGCCTATTGTCCTAGACCACATAGCTATATCACAAACCACCCCTACCCACTCCCACCTCTATCTGTCTAAACGATCTTTCCCTCCTTGAAAAATTCTCCTATGTAAAGTTCTTATCCCAAACCCATCTTCCTTTCTAAACTCATATTCCACGACTACCATCACCCTAACCTACACCATACGCCAAACTTTTTACTCAGAATAACATTATAAAACTTACCCCACACTTGTTCTGCCTTCTACTTGGGAAAAAGTCCAGCTTTTTCTCTTTCATTACTTAATATAAAATCCGAGAGACATCAAGATTAGCACCACGTGCTGTTACAAACTGTCCTATCTATGCCGTCTCTTTCTACATCACCCAACAAAGAGACTGATATTAGAGAAACCAACACTTTCCACAAAAGACGTAGCTTTGCAATCACTAACTCTAGCATATTTAGCTACATCTTTCAAGTCCTATGAACGGGAAGTCAAAGCAGACCGGGTCAAGCTTCTCTTTGGAGTCGATTTTTTGAGATGTCTGAAAGCAAGAAGCAGTTTCTTCATCTGTGCAAATAGCGTCTACTCCCGCCTGCCAACCAATTGGACCGGAGCATGCACACTAGCCTATCTCCTTCCCCGTTTCATCCACAACCAACTCTGAATTAATACCTATTCCCCTAACTCAAAACCTTAGACAAAAACGGGCAATTGCGGGTCTCCTCCCTTTAGTGTGTGGCCTGGGAATAATAACAGGAGTGGCCACAGGCACTGCAGGCCTGAGAGTCTCCTTAGAAAAAGTCCAGCATCTCTTAAAAACTCTACAAAATCCACTAGACGATATACTGCATATTGTAGTGTAAGACCAGGAATTCCCCCTTGGCTACCTCTTTCTAGTCATTTTCTTAATAACTCTTGCTCCCTGTTTTCATAAATTTCTTTCAGAAATTTTTAATAAAGCGCCTCACTGCCATCTCCCGAGCAACGGTCCAAGAACACGGGAAAACGGTGCTCCTCCTTCAGATCATACAAAAAACCAACATCGCCTCAATTCAGCAGGAAGCAGCCAAAGATAACTTCGCGACTATCCATTATATTCCTTTAGGGTCTGGAATGAAGGAAGAACACAGCAGTTGCCCCTCCTCCCCCAAGTTCTATCACTTCCTGAGAAACGTGATAAAACACCTAAGCTGGTCACATCAAAGACCAGAACAGACAATGGATTCTGGTAAAGAGTCTGAGCTGGATTAAAAATTGGTAAAACCTACCTTAATTAACACGCCAAATTACGAGAAGTACCATCTTAGTCCTCCCCAGGATCCCTACAAAAAGGAAACGCGCCAAACTGCCCGCGCGCGCCATTTTGATCCCGCCCGCACGCCATGCGGCCGGGTCACATGGCGCCCCGCTCAGACCGCGCAATAAAGGCCTGATCGTTCCTTGGGACCAATTTCTTTCTTTATCCCTCTCCCTCGCGCCCTCATGCTCTTTTTTATATCTAACACAAATCAAATCCATGGCAGGGAAGTTCATTCAGATTCTGTAGGCCCAAGTGAAACTGCCCCAGTGGGTTTCTTTATGGAAATAGATTACCACATCTTTGTCCCACATCAGTTTGATGCACATACCTTTCAAGAAGCAGATAACACTCAGGAACCGCGGTATCAGGGATCCCAACCGGCCGCCAACCACCTATTCACCGCAAGGAGAGAAGACGCACTGACCCGCGTTGCTGCCAGCCGCGCTCTCCCCACCTCGCAACTGGAGGCGGTTCTTAGGGTCATGTGATCAGGCGTCTGCGCAAGCGTCTCCCAGCGCCGCTTCTGGATTGGCCGCCGTGGAAGCCGCCGCGCGGCCGCGTAGGGGCTGGAACCTGGGCGGAGCTACATCCTTCGCCTCGGGCTCGCGCCTCTGGGCTGCAGGCAGGCAGGCCCTGCGCATGCGCTCTCCACGACGCTGGTGGTCCTGCCGGATGCAGGACTTGAACCTCCTGGGAGGCGCGGAGAGGTAAGTCGGCCCTGGGCCTCGGTTCCGGGAAACGCGGTCCGGCAACAGTGTGGCCCTCTCTCCGCTGCTTCCCTCCACGGCCGGCCGCAGGCTCCGCGCGTCCTTCGACTCCAGCCTGGCTGCGGAAGGCTGCGTTTCCAAAGCGAGGCTGATGCAGCTTACATTACTATTATTTTTTTTTTTACAGCTATTCTAGGATTCTCTTTGCAATATGTACTTTTCTTTATTAGCTTTCACAGAGGAAATGGTTAATCGATTCAGGTAGTGGAGTTCTTATTCCTGTATCTATGCAGTCAGAGAAAGTTAGTGCTGCAAAGGACTTCAGAAGATGATTGATTGGTCTCTGTCACTTCCCAATTGTTTTACTTAGGAGAAATGTTGCATACTGTCAAGTCAGAACGGACTCATAGCTTCTCCTCCAGCGGGTTTCCAGAGGCAGTTAATCCCAGGAGAGGAGATTGTCCAGCTTTCTCCCACGGAGTAGCTGTGGATTCGAACCAAGTACATTTGAGTTTCCTTACCACTAAACTACGGCTATCATGCTTGGAAGGGTAGAGGGTCAGGAAAAGAGAGGAAGATCCCTATCGAGATGACTGCAGCAATAGGCTCAGGTGTATCAGAGATGGTGAGGATGGCACAGGAAAGGATGGGATTCAGCTCTGTTGTTTGTAGGGTCCCTGTGAGTTGTACTCCACTCCATGGCACCTAACAACCACCACCATCAGAGAGAGCTTTCTACTGAGGGGAAAACAGACCCTGAAAGATTACGTGGATATTGGAAATACACCTAACTGGTTAACAGTCTTACAGGAATGAGAATTCTTAAAAAGTTGACTTTTACAAATTGACTTTGAAAAGTGGTGAATGATAAAACGATGAGACAAAAGCAGGTTCGTTCATGTTAAGACTAACCATTTTAAACAATACTTCCTTCTTTTTAAATATTGTTTTCTTATTTCAGGTTTCATCCTTAACTTAAAAGTAAAATGGCAGAAACATCACCTGCAGAGCCTTCTCGACACCTTTTTGTCCACTCGGACACTCACAGTGACTTGGTCCTGGCCAGTTTTGAGGATCAGAGGAGGAAAGGCTTTCTCTGTGACATCACTTTGATCGTGGAGAATGTGCATTTCCGGGCCCACAAAGCCTTACTTGCTGCTAGTAGTGAATACTTCTCAATGATGTTTGCTGAAGAGGGGGAGATCGGCCAGTCCATTTATATGCTGGAAGGCATGGTTGCAGATACCTTTAGCATCCTGCTGGAATTCATCTACACAGGTTATCTCCACACTAGTGAAAAAACTACAGAGCAAATCCTGGCCACTGCTCAGTTCTTAAAAATCTATGATCTGGTAAAGGCTTACACAGACTTTCAGAATAACCATAGCTCCCCGAAGCCAGCAACATTGAATGCTGCTGGAGCCCCAGTGGTGGTTATTTCTAATAAGAAAAATGACCCTCCCAAGCGGAAGCGGGGAAGACCAAGAAAAGTCAACAGTTTGCAGGAGGGGAAATCAGGACTGGCTGCAGAGGAAGAAATACAACTAAGAGTGAACAATTCCGTTCAAAATACCCCGAATTTTATAGGTAAAGGGGACAGTGGTGTATTGGACCAGCAGATTCCAACTAAAGAAGTGGCAGACTCTCAGCCTTCTTGTGAGGCAAGTAGAGTGGAAGAAATGCCAGCTGAAAAAGATGAGAACTGTGATCCCAAGACCCAGGACGGACCAGAAACCCAGAGCCGGTATAGCAAGCGGCGCATTTGGAGATCTGTCAAACTTAAAGATTACAAGCTTGTTGGGGATGAAGAGGATCTAAGTTCCACCAAAAGGATCTGTGGAAGGAGAAGACGTGCTGGCCCTGAGGCACGCTGTAAAGACTGTGGCAAAGTCTTTAAGTACAATCACTTTTTAGCAATCCACCAGAGGAGCCACACAGGTAATTCCTGGCAGCTTACTGGAATGTGTTCTGGAATTTGGCGTAGTAATACTGTATTTGTTAGTTACCATTGAGTTAATTTCAACTGTGGTTACCTTGTGTCCAACAGAACAAAACATTGATGGGTCAGTGTGTGCCTTAACAATTGCCAACATGTTTAATTTTCTTACTCGTGCCTCTTATGCTGATCCATATCACAAGTGCCTCCCATCCCCTGTTGACCCTCTACTTCAAACACAATATCCTCCTCTAGTGATTACTACTTCTTAATGAGGTGTCCAATACAAGCAAGTCGATCGGCGTTCTGTTGTGTTTTCATAGGCTCATTTTCAGAAGTAGATTGCCAGGTCTTTGTTCCTAGTGTGTCATAGTCTGGAAGCTTCACTGAACCTCTCTACCATGAGTGATCTTGCTGGTATTTGAAATACCAGAGGCATAGTTTCTAGCATTGCAGCACATAAGCACCATAGTAAAATAAACTGATACGTGATAGATGATAATTACGTTTGATAACCTCTTGTACTAAGGGAGCTTAGGTGGGCTAGTGGCTAAACTCTTTCTGTTGTGTCTTATTCTAACAATATGTTGTGTCTAATTCTCACAATATTACTATAATATAATAATATATAGTAGATAATATTCCCATTAAACACACAAAGGGACCAAGTCCTTAAAAGCATAAGTAACTTTCCCGTGATCATACATTAGTGATGGAGCTGGAATTTAAGCCCACTAGCTTGATTCTGGAATCCCACGTCTTATTCTATGCCCTAGTGGTGTAGTATGCAGTGTATTGAGCTACTAACCCAAAGGTCAGCAGTTTGAGTTTACCATTAGCTCTGAGGGAAGAAAATGGTCAGTATCTTGCTGTAGAAACTACAGCCTCAAAAACACTTCACTGTGAGTCAGAATCAAATCATGACAAGTGAGTTTGGGTTTGAGATTTTTTGGGGGGGGCATCAGGGAGCGGTGTTCTTATTGGTGGTATTGATTGTGGAGTCGCAAGCTGAAGCTGTTAACAGTCTCTCAATTTCTTCACCATCTAACATGCTGCTGCTTATTGGCTCAGTTATCGTATATCCCTAAAGGACAGTAATAATTCAGTTACAGAATTCTTGTTTTCATGCAGGAGACCCAGCCTCTGTTCCCAACCTGTGTACCAAGTGCTGCTGTTGTTAGGTGTTGTCAAGTTGAGTACAACACTTCACCCATGAACACTTGTTCACCATGAACAACATTTCTGAAACCTGTCGTATGCTGTGCCATCCTCATCATCTCTGACACACTTGAACCCATTGCTGCAGTCACTATGTCAGGCCATCTCGTTGAGGGTCTTCCTCTTCTTTGCTGACTCTCTACCTTCCTAAGCGTGACGTCCTTTTCCAAAGAGCAGTAAACTCTTAAACCAGTATATAGAAGTTTTCTTGTTGCTATGATGCTGCACACATTTCATAAACACTTCTGGACTAGGAAGAAAAGTATAGCAATTTGTTTTGAAAATACTCACTTAACTGCTTTTGGGCCGGAATCTACTTTCCATTGAGCCATGAATTACATGAGGAAATGGCCTTTCTCCCTGGGAGCCTGCTGGTGAATTTGAACCACTAGAGAATATTCCTTCTGAAAATAAGGCCAGTGAAAACTCTCTAGATCCCAGTAGTCTAATTCCATTGTTTGTAGGGTTACCATGAAATCAGGGACAGCTCAACAACAGCTGATGATATACACCCTTTAGTTTAATTATATTATCTAAGAACATTTAGCACCTGTAGTCTAGATGTGGCTGTTTATTAGAATTGTCCAAGAACTTCTAACACTTAAAAGTGTCTAGTTCCCCTGTCCCAACACTTTTCCATTCCATTGTCTGGAACTTTAGTGTTTTCAGAAGCTTCCTGAGGATTTTAAGTGTCTATAGGTTGAAAGCCCTGAATTCTTGTACTTTGACAAAAGGAGACACTGAATGCATATTCACTGGCCTGAAGTTAATTCTGTTTTGTAAATTTGGTTATTATTTTTATCAAAGAGATGAAGTTTAAAGAGTTAAAATATTAAGAAAACTAGCAGGTAGAATTGTCCTCTGCCTCCGTTTTCTGACATTCTGGGGTGAGTTACTCTAGTGGTATCTGCTTTCCTCCATTGGAGAGAATACTAGACAATCTGGTAACACTGACTTAGTTCTGGAAAATGATATCATTTTGTAGATGGTTTTCTTCCTGCCCCCTCCCGTTTCCCCCTCACTGTCTGCCTGGAATTTCTGCTTTTTGCACGGTAGCCCTCCTGGATGAATCCTCTGACTTATCTTTTCTCCTGTTTTCCTCCTTTGGTTTTTTGGCTGTACTTCCTTATAGACTTCCACTTTATCTTTCAGTTGCCTTTCCCTCCCCCACTCTTTTTAATATTTCTTTTTTACTTCTTGGAGTTCTCTTTTGTCTTCTCATTTTTTTAACAATAGGCTCAAATACATCAGAGATGGTAAGGATAGGGCTGAGTTCAGAGCCATTGTTCATGGATGGCTAGGAATAGTCCTGCAGGACCTAAAAACTTTTTTTTTTAATTTTTTTATTATTTTTTTGTGTGCGTATGCCATCAAATCAGATCTGACTGGTACAGGAGGAGATTGTCCCTCTTTCCCCGGCAGAGCATCTGGTGGGTTCGAACTGTGCACCTCTGGGATTGTAGTTGCTGTTCCTTGCCACTAGGCCACCAGAGCTCCCCCAAAACATTATTTTTAATATTGTTTCACAATGTAACATCTTAACCTCTGTGTTTGAAGCCTCAATGTGTTTGTCTCCCATTGAGAGGCTCGAGGCCTGGCTGCCCCTGTGTGAGGGGATGAAAACACCTGAGAGGTCCCCTCTCATGTGTGAACTTTGACTCTCTCTCTGGGTAGTAGTCCCTCCTAGCTGTGCCTGGAGGCCTTTTACCCAGAAACCCTTTGTGTCACCCTCTCCAAAGAACAATCCTCATCTTCTATTTAGGGGCAGACTACTCTCCTGACAGCCTAGACTATGGAACTGGTATGAAGTAGCTAATGTCTTGGAAATAGATTGTCAGTTCCCTTCTCTTACCCTCATATTTTTAGAGCTGTCACATGCCACCAACTGCTGAGTTTTTTGGAGACTCCTGCTTAAAGATTAGATCTCTGTTCACTGCTAGCTTCAAATTCATCTGTTCCCGCTTCTAGACTGCTATTGCTGTGTTCATTCTCCTTTGAAATCCTTGCCTTTTAAGAGAGATCCCTTTGTTGTCATTTGGATTTAGGAGAGCACAGGCATACCAGATGTGGATTCCTGCTTACACCATGTTTCTGGGGTTTTTATTGCAGGGGAACGGCCTTTCAAATGTAACGAATGTGGCAAAGGCTTTGCCCAGAAGCACTCGCTGCAGGTGCACACCAGGATGCACACGGGTGAGCGGCCGTACACCTGCACCGTGTGTAGCAAGGCCCTGACCACCAAGCACTCACTGCTGGAGCACATGAGCCTGCACTCAGGTAGTACACTGCGCCAAGGCTGGGAGGGACCCGGGGAGGCCAGGTGCCACCAGACCCCTAGTCCCAGGGTAGTAGGTGGGGGCATTCCTGTGGTCTCAGTGGTCATTTTCCACATTTCTTTGAAAGATAGAATCATGCATATGTGAAAGATAGCATTCTGCACAGTGTTAAGACTTAACACTAGGGCTTATAGCCTGGCCACTACCTTCTCATTTCCTGTGCATTTTGCACATTTTAGTTTCTTGTTTTTTATTTGGCAGGACAGAAGGCCTTTACCTGTGATCAGTGTGGAAAGTACTTCAGCCAGAAAAGACAACTAAAGAGCCATTACCGAGTTCATACAGGTACAGCAAAGCAGGAGGGAGTTTGGATTTTGGAGTTGGGGGAACGTAGATACAGATTAATAGTTACTGAAACAGTACTTTCAAATTGTAGATGATAAGTGAGTATTTAGGGGACCCACTAATCAAACGCATTCCTGTGGAATTGATTCTGATTCATAACGACCCTATAGGACAGAGTAGAACTTTCCCCTAGGATTTCCACTGCTAAGTCTTTTTTTAAATAAAATTTTTATTTTATACTTGTTTACTCACAGCTAAATCTTTATGGAAACAGACAACGGAGTAACTAGTGGGTTCGAACTACCGACCTTTCGGTTACAAGTGAGCACTTTAGCCACTATATCATCAGGGCTGCTTGAATGGTTAGTGGATGTTATCTTAAAAGCAATCTGAATTATACATCCTTGTGCTCTTCTCTAAAGCCATGTGGTTTCTGTTTCATTTTTATAACAGTTTCATGTGGCATATAGACCCTGTAGAATATGTGTCTTTTAAAAGCAGACCACTTGGCTAAGAGAACAGCAGATCATTGGTTACCTAGCCAGAGCATGACCAAATCATGACACTTTGTCCAGGCTTTCTGCTACCTGGCTGTACGCACTCTCCTTTTTTCCTCTTGAGTCAACTGATAAGAAAGTGGGAATGTCATGTGAGGTCATTTAGCCATAAGCACATTGGTGCCTTTTGAACAAAAAGGAGGTTAGCTTTAGGAAGATTGGAAGGGTTCAGGTCTTCTGAGGAAGCAGTACGGTCTCACATCTTAAGGAGAAGAGGGAAATGTTTACTGTTACCAAGTTAACAAAAGACTGCTTGTTGTTTTATTAAAATACCATATTTAAAGTGATTATTTTTCAGGGAAGTGCTTTAACTCAAATCACTGAAGAAATGCAGGCAGAGCATATATGCACTGACACTTTTTTTATTGTTGCGACAAGGCCACTCATTACCGGAATGTAGCCACTGCCATCGCAAATTCATGGATGTGTCTCAGCTAAAGAAACACCTACGAACACACACAGGTAAACGCCATCTCTTCATGCCTTTCCCATATACTTTATCTGTTCAGGAGAGTGAAGCATGAGAGAAGTACTCTGAGTCCTGTCCTCAGAATGTGTTTGGAAATCCTTACTGTGAATTGCTGGGGATTTCATAAATAGGTAACTTAAAACCCCAAGGAAGAATGCTCTTAGCACCATTCTCTGGCAAAGTTACATCTCTTTGTAGATTAATAACATGGAAATGAGCAGTTTTTATATACAGAAATTCATTTACTGCAACTGAGAAGTAGTACATATCTGAATCTATTCTATGTTTAACTGATAATTTACCTTAGCACTGATGGTTATCAAGATCTTTTCTTAGAAGAGGAAGAAAAATGAAATAAGGTAGCAGAGACAGTCAGAATTCTTCTAGATTCTTCTTGAATTAACGTTTATATAGCTTGAGCAATGCCACTCCCAACAAAGTTGGCTGTGGAGATGAAGGCAGAGGCACAATTGATTAGAGCAACTCAGAAAAGTAGAAATATGGGTCTCTAAACCTTTTGGGCAACAGCAGTTCCTAAAAAGCTTCTTAGATTTTTCTAAAAACAACTTTCATTATAGATTGAATGTTAATTATTATCTATCAAATTGGTTTATGTTGCTTTGGACAATTTTTTTTTTTAAATTTTACTTTATTGCATTATTTTTTGTGTCATATCAGATCTGACTGATACAGGAGGAGATTGTTCCTCCTCCTCCAGCAGAGCATCTGGTGGATTTGAACTGTGCACCTCTGAGATTGCAGTGCAGCTTCTTGCCACTAGGCCACCAGAGCTCACCGCTTTGGACAATTTTTTAAAAAATACCTATCATTGTGGTGTACCACTAAATCAGAACCATCTCATAGCTGGCCCTCCAGCAGATCTTCAGAGGCAGTAAATCACATGAAAGGAGATTGCCCATCTTTCTATTGCAGAACAGATGGTTGATTTGAACCATGTGCCTTTAGGTTGGCAGCACAATTCCTAACCACCAAGCCACTGCACACGTCAGTGTCCATAAAGTCAATGAATGTTAAAGGGTATATACATTTTGTATGTGCTCAGTTTGGCTCATTGCCGTTGAATCAAAACTGACTCATAGTCAACTCTCCAGTTGCTTTTTGAGGAGGCTGTAAATCACATAGGAGATTGCCCTTCTTTGTCCTATGGAGCAGCTGATGGTTATCAAGATCTTATGTTAGAAGAGGAAGAAAAATGAAATAAGGTAGCAGAGATTCAAACCAATAAAATAATTTGACCTTTAGATTAGCAGCATAACTCCCTAAGAGCTAGGCCACCAGAGTGAGCCAATTTAATTTATTTAACAAGTATTTATTAAGCACTTCTCAAGTACCAGGCACTGTTTTAGACCCTGAGGAGGCAGCAGTGAATAAGCTGGAGCAAACCTGCTCTTGAGAGGCTAACATTCCAGCAAGAAGACAAAGAGCAAAGAAATATGTAATGTGTGGGTGGTAGGTAAGTGCTATGATGAAATAAAATGTAAGGTAAGAGGAAAGCACATGATAAGGAAGACTGTTATGTGGAGCTGGTCTAGAGAAGCCTCACTGAGGAGGTGGCAGCTTAAGTGGAGATAAAAATGTGCTGTGGGAGTGACTAAGGCTTTGTAGTTATTCAGGGGGAAAACGTGTTCGAGGTAAAGAGAACAGCAAGTACAGAGTCCTGAGACAGGCGTGCTAATGGTCTCCTAGATAAAGGCCAGGAGGAAAGAGTGGTGTAAAAAGAAATAGAGGCAGCCAGAGTCAACAGCTGGCTTTAGAAGAGGCCGCTGCACCAGAAATATCATTGCTGATGTCAGATGGAACATAGCTGAAAGCAATAAATATCAGAAGAATGTCTGTTTTTGTTTTATTGACAATGCAAAGACATTTAACTATGTGAATCATAACAAAATCTGGCTAACATTGAGAAAAATGGGAATCCCAAAGCATTTAATTGTGCTCATGAGAAATCTATACCTGGATCAAGAAGCAATTGTCCAAATACAGCAAGAGAGCACTGTGTGGTTTAAAATCAGGAAAGGTGTGTGTCAAGGATGTATCCTTTCTCCATATCTATTCAGTCTATATGCTGAGCAAATGATTCTCAAAACTGGACTCTATGAAGAAGGATGTGGCGTCAGGGTCAGAGAAAGACTCATCAACAATATACATTAATGAAGATAATACAGTCTTTTTTAATGATAGTGAGGAGGATATGAAACGCTGCAGAAGATCAAGGACTACAGTTTTCAGTATGGATTACATCTCAACATCAAGAAAACTGAGGTCCTCACCACAGACCAAGAGTCAACATTATGATAGATGGAGAAAGAATTGAAACTGTCAATGATTTCATCTTGCTTGATTCAACAATCAATCCCGTTGGTACCAGCAATCAGGTAATCAGGAGATGTATTGCAATGGGCAAGTCCACTGTCAAGGACATCCAAAATGATAAAGAGCAATGTTGTCAGTTTGAAGACCAAGGTGTACCTAACTCAGACCAAGGTCTTCTCAGTCACCGGCTATGCATCAGAAAGCTGAACAATGAAAAAGATGACAGAAAAGTTGATACCTTTGAGTTGTGGTGCTGGGGAATAGTACTGAACATACAGTGGACTTTAAAAAGAACAGATTTGTTTTCATGTCTTGGAAAAAGTACAGACAGAGTGCTCCTTGGAGGCAAAGATGTTGAAGTTTTGTCTTTCATACTTTGCACATGTAGCCAGGCAAGGCTATTCTTTGGAATGGTACATCATGCTTGGAAAAATGGAAGGTCAGTGAGGGAGAGGAAGACCCCCAACAAGATGAATTGATGTGGTGATTTCAGCAATCAGCTGTAATGTGTCAGAGATGTTGAGGATTGCACAGGATAGGGTAGATCTCAGGTCAGTTGTTGATAGGGTCCCTATGAGTCAGACTCAACTAAGGGCAGCTAACAACAACACAGTCTACAGAGTGCAGGAGTTTAACCTCACCTGTAGCTTTAGTCACCTGAGAAGCTGAAAAAGAAGAGCCTGGTCCCAACCCTTAGGTTCTGACTAAGTTCTTCTTGTTAGAGCTTCAAAGTTAGGTGATTCTGCAGTGTACTTAACCTGCTTAAGGAAGAAGCCCTGGTAGCACAACCATTAAGAACTAGTTAATAACCTGAAAAGTTGGCAGCTTGATCCCACTCAACAGTTTTGCAAGATAAAAGGCCTAATCTCTTTTATCTTTACAAGAGAAAAGATTGCAGCCCAGAGAACTCTGTGAGCAGTTCTGCTCTCTAACACGGGTTGTTATGAATCAACATCCACTCAAGTGGCACCTGACAACATTGAAAATCACAATAAAGACTGGATTTAAGGCTTTAAAGAGAACAGTGATAGATTTTCAGTTGGAATTTTGATAGAATCTCACCAGTTTCCATGTAGAGTGGGATGAGAGATGGACAAGAGAGTTTTTGAGGTTGTGTGCCCCATTGTGCTAGCAGTGGAAATGGTGTAAGTAGTCCAGTTTTGGATGTTGGAAGGACAGTTTTTTTGGTATATATTTGAGAGTGGTGGGGTGGAGGGAAAAAAAGGGAGACAAAAGCAATTAAAAGAATATAAATTGACTGAGAAAAACTGGATAAATTGTGTATACTACACTGAAACAGATGAGGGACTGAATAATTTAAAAGCGATGTATGATAGGGTATTATGGTTATCACAAGAGTCCACAATTAAGGTTGCATAGTGGAATGTACTTGGGGTGGTGGGAGGGGTGTGGGGGGATTGTGTACCAGGGAGGGAGTCTTTCTTTTACTTTTGAAAGAGAGGAGCGAACTGGGGGGCGGGGGGGAGAGGGCTGGGCAGGGAGAAAAGTGCAGCAATGAATGAATGGAAATCCAAATTCTCTGTAAATGTTCATTAAAATTATTTAAAAAAAGGAAAAAAAGAATATAAATCTGGGAAATATTGAGAGGAACAAGTCAAGAGTTAGATTTTGAATGTGTTGGGCCTGTGATGTGTATTTGCCCTAAGTTACAGATACGAAATAGGCAGTTGGTTGATGAGGGTAGAGTGCCAGGCAGAGGTCCAGACTGAAGGTAGGAGTTTACGCACTTAAACATCAACCTGTAGATAGTATGTGATGCTGCAGTAAGAACTCCTGGGGAGAGAGTATGGATGGAGAAGGGCAGTGGTGGCTTGGTCAGGTTGAGAAGGGTGAGCAATGAAATGCCATATCTTGAGCTTTGTCTTTTAAATGTAGGATGTAGCAGTGCTTCTGGTATTTGAGCAGAATGAGACTTTGAAAGTAAGAATGAAAAGGAACTAAACACAGAAGAGGAAAATGAATACTTTGTGATGGGGCAGAACTGTTCTTTGATTGATTTGTATGACTTAGGAATTGGCACAAGCAGGGCAGAGGTCACACTGAGAGGCCACGGGCCTGAGAAAAGTATAGCTGATTATAGACAGTCTTGATGGAAGAAGCGTGTATCTCCAGCTGTCCTGAACCTCAGTTGTCACCTCTGACTTCCTTGTGTGTTGTTGCGTATCGTCAAATCAGAGCTGACCCATAGCTGACTCTCCGGTGGGTTTTCAGAGGCTGTAAATGCACAGGAGAGGATTGCCCATCTTTCTCTCGCAGAGCAGCTGGTGGATTCAAACCACTTGCCTTTGAATTGGCAGCACAGTTCCCTACCCCTAAGCCACCAGCTGAACTGCACATGTGAAAAGTGCTGATGCGGGAAAATTTTTGTTACCTACATATTTAAACACAAACGTTGTTGTTGTTGTTATATGCCATTGAGTCGTGTAAATGGGCTTATTGAGGGCAAGGACTATGGCTCATCTGTCCTAGCACAGAACATAATGCTGTTTGTTGGCAATGAAAAGAGGTAGCAGGCCATTTCCATGCTACCTGGGCATTGGGTGGAAAGTATGGGGAGGTTTCATCAGAGCTTTACATACCTCTGCAGACAGGGGGCAATATGATCTCAGAAAGCTGGCCATGTTGACAGGGCCAGGGC